TTCCCGTTTGTACTGTCAATAAATATGAGCCTGACCCCACCTGAGCTACACCACCTCGAAAGGGAACAACCACGTCTGTGACCGCAGGAGTGGGAACGGGCACGGCGTGGGACCTCACACATAAGCTAACCAGCGGCCTCTTTCAGGTAACACCACCCCCCCACCCCACCACCACCCCCCCACCCCACCACCACCCCACCACTCCACCACCCCCCCATCCCCCCACCCCCCCACCCCCGTGCCTGGTTGCTGTGGACACAGCCAGGGTTTGCTCCACACCTCAATCTGGTGCTCCACACTGAGCTACATTCCCAGCCCCTGTGTTGGCTGCTTGGATTTTTAAGTATTTGGCTAATGTTTTCATCTTAAAAGCAATTCCTGATGGGCGGTGGTGGCGCACACTTTTAGTCCCAGCACTCGGGAGGCAGAGGCAGGTGGATCTCTGTGAGTCCGAGGCCAGCCTGGTCTACAAGAGCTAGTTCCAGAACAGCCTCCAAAGCCACAGAGAAACCCTGTCTCAAAAAACAAACAACAACAACAAAAAAAAAAAAAAAAAAAAAAAAAAACCAGTTCCCATGCCAGGGCCAGAGAGAACATTCCAGCACTAAAGTGCTTGTCTTCCAGATACACAGGCCTGAGTCTGAAAAGGAAGTTTAAAAAAAAAAAAAAAAAAAGCTGGGTGGGGGCATATATCTATAGTTTCAGGTACAAGACTGTGGACTCATCAAGATAGAATAGATAGGGAAGTATTTTCTCTGAATTTGTCAAATGCAAATGGACCAGGTATTGTTTATGTATTTATTGCCTGGAAACATTGTATATAGTTATTATAGTTATTGTATATAGTTTTTTATGGTAATAGTTTTTCTTTTTCTAAGTACACAAAAAGGGGAATCATGGTGATAAATTATTTATGATTTATTAAAGATTGCCTGAGGATTCAGAAAGCAAAGTCAGCCTCAAGCTATAGAGGTCAGGCAGTGGTGGCGCACACCTTTAATCCCAGGACTCAGGAGATAAAAGCAGATGGATCTCTCAGAGTTCAAGGCCACCCAGGGCTACATGAGATTGAATGTGTCTAAAAGAGAAACAGAGCTCACGCCTTTAACCCCAGCACTAGAGAGATATAAAAGATAGAGCAGGGTCTTCAGTGGTCAGTCTCAGGAGTCTCCAGCTACGTTGAGAGCAGAGCAGTCTGGGATTGCAGTGTGAGGTTTGATGGAGCCAGGATCACATTTCAGTCTGAGGTAAAGTGCGAGCTAGTGGCTAGTTGCTTTGTTTCTCTGAACTCCAGCTAGAAGCTTTGACCCCAATATCTGTCTCTGGGTCTTTTATTTATCATGCTATACTCTGGCCAACGAGCCTGGCCTAATCAGCTAGCTCCATTAAAGTGAGTGACCTTGGTGACATGGGGTGACATGTGTTGATTTTACTGGCTGATTAATCACGCTGTTCTGGGCAGAGTATCGCCAGGTAGAAAGAGAAGGTGGAGTCAAGAGATGCCATGTAGCCACCAGGAGGCAAGATGCCAGGACATCACCGGTGTCCTGCACACAGATTAGTAGATATGGGTTAATTTTATAAGAGAGACAATTGGCCAGTAATAAACCTAAGACATTGGCCAAACAATTATACATACATACATACACACATACATACATATGTCTCTGAGTGGTTATTTATAAGCAGCTGTGGGGACCCAGCAAGCAGAGAGAAACCAGTCAAGAGGGACCAGGCTAAACAGAGCAAAGTACCTAAGACCTAGAAAAGCTTTTTTAAAAAGGGCTGTATAGTGCATATACAGAGCTGACAGCTTCCTGGTTCAGTCTCTCATGCGGGCCACGGTGCCCTACAACAACACAGCATTCAGGCTTCAGCACACACAAAACTAGAACTGCAACCAGCAAGAACAACATCGACCAAGAAACACAAGCGCATACTAAACATCCAGGCTCTAGGTAATTGGCAAATAACAGAGATTATTCCAACAGCTGCCCTATCCTGAGGAGCCTAAGTCTTGTACTAGAATGTCTTAGCTAAGGTATGAGAGGATTGTAACTGTGATTGTCTCATCTTCAATCCTGAGACCCTCAAAATCCATGGTGGGTGGAATCCTGAGCAAAAAGTCTCCGTGCACAGTCCCTCACATGCACATTCATCCTACAGACACACATATGAACACATGCAAACATTCACGGATTACATATACAAACACAGGGCAGTAGCTCGCGGTCTAACTGGCTGGGTCAAGTTCCGCTACCCTGACTTCATCATGGTGGATGTACCGTTTAGCCATGAGCCAAAATAGCTCCTTCCTCGCCTGAGATCTTTGTCAGGGTATTTTATCCTAACAGGGGTTGGGGTGGGGGGAGATAAAACAATAAAACACCAGCCCAGCCATGACAGGCCATAATCACATCACAGAAGTTGTCCCTGAGAGGGGTTGCCTGGTTCGTTGTTCCAGGCAGGGACTCGACGACATTCTGCCCAGCAGTTTTACCTCTGCAGCTAGGTAGTTCCCAGTTGCAAGATGCTTAAATCTGAACAGGCTGTTCCATTGTCCGGCGCCGCCTCGGCATGGATCGTGGTGAACCACCTAAAGGGAGGGAGGGTTTCAGTCCAAGTGCCAGCAGCCAGGGTACCCTTCTGTGTGTGCAACCCATCTAACACCTACCCTGAGAGCGCGATGTGGGAAGAAAACAACACTTCCCATCAGTGAGCAAGAGACGTGTCATACCTCACTGGAGGGGGCCCACGCCTCACACCTGAAAACACCGTCTTACGGCAAAAGGCGTGTTTCCTGCCAGGGGACAGGGGCTCACAAACAAAATCCCAGGATTTGGGGGGGGGGGTCACTCTGTGCTGCTCTGTGAGTTCCAGGCCAACCTGGACTATAAAGCGAGATCCTACCTAATATATCTCATTATTGGGCACAGCATTGGGAAGATCTGGGCAAAACACCAGCACCACGCCAGGCACCCACGGGCTGCATGAAACCCCTTCCAGGAGTTTCTTCCAACTGGCTGATTTCAAACTTGTGGCTGCTGCCTGTCTCAACCTGGCGGATAGTATTCTTAGCTGTGAGTATCTTGATTTCAATGGCATTCGAAGGAAAAATACCTGCTATTTTCGGTGGCTATGGGTTCTGTCTCTGCATCCCCCTGCCGTGGCTCAGGCTCTACCACAGAGACGCATATCTTCCAGTCTGATCAGCACTGATGAATTCACAATGGAATTTTTCCCCTTTTCAATAAGCAGAACTTATTTGTTCTGCTTTATAATGGGTTCCTCTGTGACAAATTCCTTTCAAATCGGTCACAGCCACAAAGAGATATGCGTTAGTTCACAAAAATTATTCCATGTTATGGACATGACGCCAATGTTGCCCATAGCAGCAAAGCAAACAACAGCCTAATGACCTTTATCTTTTTTATCTAAATATTTAGTAACACCCTCCCCCCGAAAAAAAAGGAAAACAAGTACACACCTCTATTTCCCAGAGTGCTTTAGAACTAGTAGCTGAAGTTGCTGACTGGCGCAAGGTCGTCCGAAGGAAAATGTGCTGTTTTTTCTCATAATCATCACAGGTCAGAAACTTCTCTTGTTCAGCATGAAACAGTCTCACAACATCGCCCTGGAGAGACAGATGAAGAAATGCTAACCTTCCAACAGTCACCGGGACCAGCAAACTGGGGGCCCGGCTGTTCCCTTCTGGGCTGCAGAGCCACGCCTTTCCTTGAATGGCTCTGAGCACATTTCACATTACTGGCACATGAGAATGTAGGTTTGTATGGAGGGCTCACTCACCCCTTTCAACACGTCCTCTCGATAGGAACTGAATTTCATGAATAAAGTGATTTTCCAGCTAGTGTTACAGTTGACGGCGTTCACCTATTGACGGGAACAGATGTTAAAAGACGTGAGACGGTAGACTCTACATTCTGTACCCAAAATCACCATTTCAAACAGGAAAAGAAGAAGAAAAAAGACAACTATGGACAGGGAAGTATGGGCCACAATAAAAACGTCTCCAAAGAACCGTTCAGTTCCTACAGATAGGTGCCCAAGGATGCTCACACCAGCAGGATGATGCTTGGGAGAATCGCGAAGCAACATGATCTCCCTCCCTCCTTCCTCCTCTCCCTCCCTTTCTCCCCCTCCCTCCTTCCTCCCCTCTTTTTCTCCTCCTCCCTCCTGACCCCTCTCCCTTCCCCTCTCTATTCTTCCTACTCTCCCCCCCTTTCCTTTCTGTCTTCATCCCTGTTTCCTACTCTCCTCCTCCGTACCCCCAGAGAAAATCGACATCCCCTCCCTTCCTTCCCTGCCTGGACTCACCTCTTTGCAGCCCGGGTTGTCCAGGAGCTCCACATTGCTCGCGTGCAGGGGCTGCCCAGCGTTCACAGGCATCAGAACAACTTTATCTCCTACGACGATCTGGGAATCAGAAACACACCCCGATGCTCTGTGAGGCTGGAAAGGCCGGGCAGTCCTCACCAGCAGCCTGGCTCCTGGTCCTGTCACTCTACACTCTGCGACTGGACTCTTCTGCCTGAGAAGTGTGCTCAAACACACGGGCTTGCACTCAGATCCTCCGGGCCTGCTGAACCCTGCTCCCCATTAGTCTCCCTATCATCTGGGGCTCCTCAGAGGTCAGAATTGGGCGATTTTCTTCCCAAAAGCCTTTGCAGTAGAAACAGTGAAGGCGGCTGCTGGGATGCTTTTCTACCCAAGCTTCAGAATCTCATCAGGGTAGCAGAGGACACATCCCTCCCTGCTCCCTCCCCACTGAAAGGCTGTGAGTATGCTTAACTAATTATCCCAGATCTCAGAGTAACGAAGCATCTGACCTCTGGGTTCAGGAAGTACAAGGCAGGACACGACCTTGTAAAACTTTGTCAGGCCTGGAGCTTTCAGTTCCTTTGTACTCAAAACATCCGAAACCAGAAGTGTAGGAGCCCATGTCTCTTTCAAAGCAATAATTATCAGGGTTCCAGGAGAAAGCACTAAAAAGTATAAGCCTGTCTTTATATCCGTCTGTGCGATAATAGCAATGTCTATTATACTTGCAAATATCTTTACATCTAATTCAATTTGAGAATTGAATTCTAATTCAATTCTTTTTGTCTTTTTTGGTTTTTCGAGACAGGGTTTCTCTGTAGCTTTGGAGCCTGTCCTGGAAGTAGCTCTTGTAGACCAGGCTGGTCTCAAACTCACAGAGATCCACCTGCCTCCGCCTCCCAAAGAGTGCTGGGACTAACGGCGTGTACCACCAACGCCCGGCAAAATTACCTTTTCTTAATAGCAATAACAGTTTCATTTCAGTAACTGGAGAGACGTGTGATGGTTAAGTTCTTTTTTGATTGTTTTTTTCTTTTTTAAGATTTATTTGTTTTATATACGTGTGTGTGTGTGTGTGTGTGTGTGTGTGTTTCTATCTGTGTGTTCACCTTCATGCCAGAAGAGGGCATCAGATCCTACTTTTGATGGTTGTGAGCCACCATGTCAAACTCAGGACCTCCGAAAGATTTATTTGTTTTATGTACGTGTGTGTGTTTGTGTGTGTGTGTGTGTGTGTGTGTGTGTGTGTGTGTGTGTGTGTTTCTATCTGTGTGTTCACCTTCATGCCAGAAGAGGGCATCAGATCCTACTTTTGATGGTTGTGAGCCACCATGTCAAACTCAGGACCTCCGAAAGAGCAGCCAGTGCTCTTAACTATAGAGCCATCTCTCCAACTTCCCCATTCTGAAGCAAAATCAGAAACCTTCCCTTTGCATATTTCATACCAATGACATGTTAGAACAATTAAAGATTACTTTGATATGTAAATGAGAAAACAATTGGGACCATCTCCATGTACCTTAACCATTTTAGTGTCACGTGACCCTAAGTGGCTACTGTTGAGGGGCGTGTTGCTGCACACTGTATGTAGAGATCTACCTGTGCCCAAGAAGCCTCAAGTCCCGTAGCCAAGCACAGGATGGCGCCCTTGGCTTTGGGGGTCGAGCGCCTGCTGTTTGCTGGCCAGGCCTCTAGACCTCACCTGACCTTCCAAACACAGATGCCGGCAAACACTCATTTACAGAAAATAAAGTAAATCATTTACTTTAGATAACACTTAAGAGGGGCTAAGGAAAAAAAAAAAAAAACCAGATTTGTATCTGGGGGAATTCACATTACTAGATATATTGGAATTATTCTCAGAAGAGTGAGGCTTCAGGCCTTAACTGCCCACGCAGCTAGACACTAAGAAGTTTTATTGGATGCACACCGGGAGGGTGAGGCCCTTTGGTTTTACATCTCACCACCCCAAAGCACTTCTGTTGGATGTATGTAGCAGCCCTGTCACACTGAAACACTCAAGCTGGGATTTCACTGATAATAACGCCACCTGCAGCTGGCTGTCCTTGCTTTGAGTGTCACCCAGGACAGTAAGAGGAGCCTCGCAATGGGAATCAGGAAACACCAATACTCTAGTACCCACCTCTGCTACAAGTCTACCTCTTCGTGCTTCTAAATCTACTGTCAGGGCAAAGGACCCTTGTCTTCTCATGTCAAGACTGAAAGTGACAGAGTTTAACCGCTCAAACATGAAGAGGACACGTGGAAATGAAATACGGGTATTTTCTGCTCACGGGTGTCCTCGGTGGTTTTTCTAGTAACTTGGGAGCAGCCAAGGGCTTTCTATGCAGCAGGGAGTGGAGGGACCTGTGGCCTCGTTTCCCCCAAACCATGCACCCCCTACCTAGTGTACCTTCATGCACTCAGCACAAGGAGCAGTGTGTGCCCCAGGCTGCCATCTGCGTCATCCTCCACTTGAGCCTGAAGGACTTCTTGTTGGGTACGTACAACCTAAGTCTCTCCTTCACTCGCTGCTAAATAGCAAACTGTAATTTTAAAATTCCTCCGAACACTGCAATTTCCTCTCCATTTAAGATACTTGTGCAGAAACCCAGTCACAATTAAACCACTCAAGGAGACAACATTAGCAACTGCCTTCAATAAACTACAGTAGGTTGATGTTGCAAAGCGCTGCCTATACCTAGCCAAGAAAATGAGAGCTTGCATACAAGTCCCCGTGCAGCTGATACAAGGCTGTGGGCATGCCAGCCTGCCTCGACAACCTTCATCACACACAAAGCTATATGGAGGTGAACAAACACAGTGATGGTTTCAGCAAGAAGCGGGAAGACTATATTGCAACAGGGCTTTGTAGAACGCATCCAGATAAGGACAACTTAGCACCGTGGGCGGCCACAAAGACAAGGTTTGAGTGAAAGGCTTCCTTTTGTTCCAATGTCCTGCTGAAACTAATTGTCTAAAGTAGTTGTTACATTCAACTCTCTCCGGATGCTATCAAGTGGCTTGCGAGTGGTGAGAGCCAGACAAAGGATGGATAAGCAGAGGGAACCATGAAATTCTCAGCAACCCGAAGGCGGAGGCTCATTTCACCATGGCATCATATTCTTTCAGTTTGAGCGTACTTCGGATTTGTTTGAGTTGACGTTTAGTTTTCATGGATCACCTATAGATGGTAACATGGGAGCTGGGGGCAGGGCAGCATTACAAGGGAAGTGGATAGTTCACAGACTGCATTTTAGCCCTTGAATGACTGAGAGTTGAGTGTAATTAACTACTCGTTCAGAGTAAGGATGCACCATGCTCACAGCACACACCGATTAACGTCAGAGGGGAGAACTGGTTTCCCAAGGAACCCAATCCATCCCTGCATGCCATGCAGCTAACCCTTACCTAAGGAAGACATCACCAGAAAAATTATTAACCCAGTTACATCATGGTGCTCATGTCCTGTGGAATTGAATTTGTACTTTAAAATTCACTGGAAAAAGAGATTCTCTATAGAAAAGAAGGCATTTCTAATGTAAGAAATACCTCTAAACACACTAAAGATGCAACCCAAGCACTGACTGTGGAAACTGACGGGAGAATTACATTTTCACGTCAGTCAGAATCCACGCTAGCTTCTTCACGTGGCAAGTTTTGATCACCTGGCATTTGTACAGAATTCTGCTTATAAGCCTATCTTTATTGAGCATCTTCCAGGAGCTAAGGGCTACCAGGAAAATATCAAATTGTTAGCCTGGAGTGGCAAGCACACCTGTAATCCCAGCAGTCAGTGGGCTGGTACTGAGGTAGGAGAGCCAATACAAGTTTGAGGTCAGCCTATGCTATACTAAATAACAAGTGCCACGATGTCAGGCAAGAATATAGTCAGACGCTATCTCGATAAATAAGTACAATGAAACAAAGGTCCCTGTAAAATCATCTCACATTATTTTCTCTTCCACAAAGTAACGGAAGAGATCTAAGCCAGTGGTTCTCAGCCTGTGGGTCACGACCCTTTGTGATTTAAATGACTTTTCCATAGGGGTCACCTGAGGCCGCCCCATTGGAAAACACAGATGTTTACCATATGATTCATGTATGATTCATTACAGTTATGAAGCAGCAGCGAAAATAATTTTACGGTTGGGGTCACCACAACATGAGGGACTGTGTTAAAGGGTCACCGCGTTAGGAAGGTTGAGAACCTCTGGTCTAAGCAGTGGTTCAGCCACTGTATAGTCATCATCCCCAACGAGTAGATGTCACAGCCCTACAAACCCTGCACACTGTGACAACGCTCTAAGAAGTTGGCTGTGAAGACACTGAATGGATGGATCACTGTCTCGGCTCTCAAAGATCCCCTGTTCATCCACAAGGCTGGGTGCCGTGGTGGCCCTCTTCCTTGCCAGCAGGAAAGTGACCTGCCTCTTTGAAAAGGCTTCACACGGTCTGGCTGGACATGACTCTAACTTAACCCGAACTCTGTCCCGTGATTTCTGAGCATGGCGAATATTGTAAACAAATGCACTTAACCTAGTAAAATAACGCTAACGCCAAATGTGTCAGAAAGTACAATGACACGTACGGGCAAAAACTAAATTGCCACAATGCAACCCATTGTTCCCTATGCTAACTTAAACGGTTTAGAGTTAAGGGGCTGAACACTGTATCTCCCTTCTCTGTGCTTTCTGCGCCTCTAGAGCACTGTGTGTTGTTTGCTTCCCTCTGGGTCTTGTGTGCACGCACATTATCACCCTCACTTCTCAGCTTCCAGAAGGGATGGATGTAGAACCAGGACCCTTCGTTCCCTGCGGCGTCCAAGGACACACGCATGGCATTCTTCTCCAGTAGCGCGGGCAGCCTCTTGTTGACAGTCAGGTACTTGTTGCTTTTTATATGCAGCAGCTGCAGAGGAAAGATGTGTGTTAGAGCCTGTATCCATGGTCTCCTCGGGTAGCTGTATTCATAAATCCGCACACCACAACTCACGCTGGAAACTAAACACGGGAGCTATTTTAAGAAGGCTCAGCAACCATCAGCTTCCCACGCTGCCTGCCCGTCTCCTGCCGTCTCCACCCCAAGTTCTGCTTCAAGGGTGACGGTGACAGTACGAGGAAGATACACCAGGGGGTACTGAAGACACCTGCAGCATCCACTGAGGAATAACAGGCTTTCCAAAAAATGGCCCAGAGGGTCCCTGAAATCTCACCCATCTCCAATACTCCTACAGACACACAGGCAGAATCTGCTAAAGAAAATCAAAGCCTGAGAGAAGGTATACGCCTACTCCATGCACTGAGCACCCCGCCCATCGGCAGCACTAACTCTCGCTCTGCAGCTTCAACAGAGTCAGCGAGGAGACTGTGACCTCCCACTTCTGAGATGCACACAGGAGGACCAGCCCTTGCCTCTCCCTTCTTCATGGATGCCATGGACAGGCTTCCCAAAATATAACCTTAATGGGTAGAACTACAAAGACAAATTCCCCATCTATTTTCAAAATCAGTCCAAAAAAAAAAGGGACATTTTAGTACCCATAAAATTTTTAATTGAAAAAAGAATCCTCTTTTTTGGTTCTCATTATACGAATGAAGACATGGAAAGCCATGGGTCTGAGAGCTGGCTCAAATGGTTGAGTGCTGCCTTACAAGCCTGAGAGCCTGAGTTCAATCCCCCAAGTTAAAAAAAAAAATCAAAACAGAAGCAGGGTGAGGAGGCACACACTTGTAACCCCAGCGCTGGGGAAATGTATCCCTGGGCTCCCTGGCAGCCAGTTTAGCTGGGCCCACAAGTCCGAGCTGCCTCCAAGTCTCCAAAACAACATGGGGAAGCTCTAATAACAACAACTGAGATGAGGCTAACTTCAGGCTTACACACACGCGCGCACACATACACATGTGCACACACATGCATACACACATGTGCATACATACATACACATGCACACGCACACACATGCACGCACACATATACATACACAAACACAGGAATGAATACACATACACACGCGCGCACACATGCATGCATGCACATGCACCCAGGCACACACACACACATGCACACATACACACACTCACACACATGTATATATACACATGCATACACATGCATACATACATATACACACATATATACTCACACATACATACATACATACATAAGCATACACATACATACATGCACACGTATACACGTGCATACATACACATGCATACATACACATGTGCACACACATGCACACTCACACATGCACACACACCCTCAAGCCTGAGTATGTACCCTCAGGGTCCATGTTTCAAAGCACAAAGGGCAGCTCCTAACTAAGACAAGCATTTGTACCTGACATGTTTGACACAGAGCTTAAATGAGTCACCAAAACTCATTGAGGAGACATCCCTGGAAGTTGCCTAGGGGACGTGCAGTCCCACCACCCACCTTGCCGGAAGTCACTCCCTGCACCCTGTCCTGTGTGAAACAGTTCCCCTGCCCTCTGGCACATTGCCATTGGCCCATCACAGCACACCAGGAGACACCATTCTTTAATGCAGCCTTATAAAGCGCGTTGTTGTGGTGGTTCCTATAAGGACCTGTGTGAGCTGTTGCTTATCATTTTAAACAGTGTCTCCTTTATGAGCTCTCAAGGGAAACACTTTCCTGGTCTCAGTCTGGGAATGAGTGAGCTCCTAGACTCCAGATGGGCACTGTGCTGTAGACCTCCATGACCAGGACTGTAGCAGGGCCCTTCCTGTGGCCAAGCAGGGCAGCAATGCCTGGGGTGTGGTCAGCAGAGACAGCAGCAATGCCTGGGGTGTGGTCAGCAGCAGCAATGCCTTGGGCTAGGTTTTATCAAACTTCCTAAGCAAGTCTCACTCTTGACCTCACCTCGTGCAGCCACCCATTATTTTCCCTTCAACCCAGCTACCTGGCCTTGGTGACTGGGCCTTTATCTACCGAGGTGCTGTGTTTCTTGGAAAAGGTCTTACATTCATTTTCAGAACAAGGTGGGGCCCTTGCTAGCAAACAAACAAAAAACCAAAAAAAAAAAAAAAGCCTAAAAGATCCAGATGAAGCAGGGTAAAGGAATGCAGCTGAGCTAGATGAGGGTGTGCATGCCGGCGAGGACCGAAAGCCGAAGAAGACTCCTGTCGCATGTACAATCTGAGAACTTTCCCCTCCACCCCAGGGAAAACATCCACTAAACCACCGTCTTCTGGGCCTTGCAAACCCTCCTGCACAGTTGTGCCTTTGGTAACTTAGCTTCCCACCTGAGACCAGTTTTCCGAATGCCTGCATGGATCGCCTAAGTTTGGGGATTGCGGGCCAGCGCTGTTTGGGCCTGGCACAAGATGTATTCAGTACATACGTGATGTTCACTGAAAGCCTCATGTTTCATACGGCTTGGCATGCGGGCAGTTTGACGGATGACCCGTAAAATACTTCCCTCTTTGATGACAAAATGGAGACTTACTTGTATAACATTGCTGTATTTCACGATTTCTCCCAAAAGCTTCCTGTTCTCTGATTCATTCTGTTTCTGTTCCAGCTCAGCGGCGTGCTGCAAGGAGGCCACCAAGTATTGAGTGCAGAAGCAACCTGAGACCATGACTTACGAAGAACTCTTAGTAACAGAATAAATCAGACTGGCTGTGTTACTGGGGAGCCGGATTTGGGACAGGGTTTGTCTGTGTAGCCCCGGCTGTCCTGGAACTTACTCTGTAGACTAAACTCAGACATCTAGTGCTAGCAAGGAAGATTTCTGTTCTTGGGGGCACATTTACACTAGGCTCCCCCAGATCTCCCCACTCCAACCCACCCCAAGTGTGACAACTTTTCGATCTATGCTGAATACAGCCAAACCTGTCTTGGGCCATTTGTTTCTATAGTGCAAATTTCAGTTAAGTGGAAGGCTCTGTGGAACTAGGAACTTTTCTACCATGTGATGTGCAGCTGTTAGAAAAGCAGGTAAATTAAAATCTTAAGGTATAGTTTTCAATTCTGAGAGTACCTAGGATGATACGAAATTTAGCGCTATCAAATTCAAACTCAGTCAACCCTAAATATATATATATGTGTGTGTTTGTGTGTGTGTGTGTGTGCATGTATGTGTATATATACATATGCATACACACACACACATAATTTTCTTCATAGACTGTTAGAGAAAAACTAAGTACTATAAAGAGTAAAATGTAATTAAATTTAACAATCAGGGGTTTTTAATGCCTTTTCAGTTTGGTGAGTCGTTCAGAATTAGCCCGGCACACCTTAAAAAATAACAGTGGGGATGTGTTGCCCACATGCCAGGAAATAAGTAGGTACGCCCTACAACGGAAAACTACATACCTCTGCACCGTGCCTGAAATCTCTACACAATGGCGCCCTCAGCAAGCCAGGCGGTCTGCTTGTTATTGCAGCCTCAGGGGAAGAGGGCGCCCGCTTACCTGGAGCTTCTTCAGCAGGGCCGCCTCAGAGTGGTTTCCTTGCTTTGCCTGCTTGGCTTTCCAGTATTGCTTCTGGGCAGAGTATCGATTCATAGGGCACACCTTGAAAAGGCAGTCTGGGAAACAAAGGAACAATGTAACTAAGGCTCCCGCCACTTTCTCCACACCCTTTGTAAGCCTCGTTTGAGACATTAGTATCTTCTGGCATTTGGGAAGTCATTCAAAGGTCATGCCACAGCCATTCCCTGAACAAGTCTTAATGCACTCTGTAACATCCTTTTCAAATACCTACTTCGATTTCAATAAAATAGATGCTTCTTTATTGGGGTTTTATGAAACATTCTAGCTAATTAATTCACGAGGAAGTGGCTGTATAAGGCGATTCTTATTTTAGTCAGCTTTGGATTTTTGAGACAGGGTCTCTTGTAGCCCAGGCTGACCTCCATCTTACCAGGTAGACAAGATGGCCTTGATTCCCTGGCCTTCCTGTCTTTACCTTATAGCATTTGGGCAGCAGGCACAAGCCAACAAGCGTTGTGGAATATTTAACTGTTTAAAGATGTGTTACATTTGTTTATGCTGTAGAATATTACTGTAACTATGTGAAGGTGTGTTACATTTGTTTATGCTGCATTTGTTTAATTATGAAAAGATGTGTAGCTGTTTCACCATGCCTGCCTAAGGTATCTGATTGGTCTAATAAAGAGCAGAACAGCCAATAGGTAGACAGAGAAAGCATAGGCAGGGCTGGCAGGCAGAGAGAATGAACGGGAGAAATCTAGGCTTGAGAAGACCAAAGGAGAAGAGGAGGAGGAGAGAAGGAGGGGGAAGAGAGGGACACCCTGGGGTCAGAAGCCAGGCACAAGAGTCAGTGAAAGTAAGGCATACAGAAGGAAAGAAAGGTAAAAAGCCCAGAGGCAAAACATAGATAAAGAGATTAAAGTAAGACCTAAGATAGGGCCAAGCACTCATAACTAAGAATAAGTCCCCATGTCATGATTTGGGAGCTGACTGGTGACCCAAAAGAAAGCCTGGTACAGCCATGCCTGACTTGCCGAGGTATTTCTTAATTGTCATGAGGTATTTGATCTTAGAAAATGAACAGTGTGAAGCTGGATGTGGTCATCCGCAGCCCTAGTCCCAACACTCAGGAGGCTGAGATGGTTAGATGGTGAGTTCGAGGCCAGACTGAGCTACTTCACCTCAAGGATGCTTTATCTGCCCTTGCATTATGATTACTTGTCCATGTTCAGTATATTTGATGCAAGAAATACCCACATGGCCATTGCAGCCATCCAGTCCCCTAGGCTCCAAATACCTAGGGTGAACGTGGTGGAAATCTGAGAGACAGTATAATAGGAAGGAAAAATTAAAAGAAAACAAAAGCCAAAACTGTAGTCTGATTTCCAAATACCTAAATCTATAGGCTGGAGATCGTAACCATAGGCAACCATGGTAGTGATGTCTCCAAGGCAGAAGAGCTAAGCAGTGATTCCTTCCTAATGGGCCCAGCTGTTCTCCTTGTGCTGGGGTATCACACAAGGTGATCTCAGCATAAAACACAGGTCAACTCCCAAGGTCTGTGGGCCCTGGATGTTCCTCCCGTTTCAGTGATAAAATACTTACTAGCAACTGTCCACACCAGCCACAGTCAGGGAGAAGGGAGGGATGGCTGCCCAGCCCCCTGCCTCCACTCACATGGTCCAGGATCCCAGCCAGGGACCCTGCTGCCCAACTCAACGCAGTCATAGACTTCCCCAGCGACATGAGCAATGGTCCAACTCCCTCTAGAGCCTGTCAGAGTGTCAGTTAACGCTGACACCACACATGACCAAGCAATAAGAGACGGGCTGCAGAGACATCTCAGTGTCAGAGTGGCTCAGCCAGCGATGGCTCAAATTCTGGGGCTGCAACCCCCTCCTCGTCCTTGGGAACCAGGCATGCGCACACACACATGCATAAAGGCCAAGCGCTCACATAAGATAAAAACTCTGGCAGTCATGGTGGCACACACCTTCTTTAATGCCAGCACTTGGGAGGCACAGGCAGGCAGATCTCTGTGAGTTCAAGGTCTACATAGTTAATTCCAGGACAGGACAGTCTGGGCTATGGAGTAAGACTCTGTCTCAAAAAAAAAAAAAAAAACCTAAATAAATAAACTAAAACATTCTCAGCTGTTCTAATGGTAATGGTACAAAATGACTAAGGCTGTGGTGGCTTGAGTAGGAATACCCCCACAGGGTTATATTTTAATGTGTGGGCATCAGGGAGTGGGCTACTTGGCAGAGATTAGGAGGTGTGGCCTTGTTGGAGAAAGTGTGTCACAGGGGGTGGGCTTTGGGGTTTCAAATGCTCCAGCCGGGCCCTGTCTCTTCCTCTCCCTCCCTCTCTCCCTCCCTCTCTCCCTCCCTCTCTCTCCCTCTCTCCCTCTCTCTCTTCTTCCCTCTCTCTCCCTCTCTCTCTCTCTCCCTCTCTCTCTCCCCCTCCCTCTCTCTTACTGTTGCCCGTGGATCCAGATGTAGACCTCTCAGCTACCATATCTGCCTGCATGCCACCTTGCTTCCAACCATGAGGATAACAAGCTACATCTCTGAACTGTACACCAGCCCCAATCAAAAGCTTTCTTTAAGAGTTGCCACGGCCATGGTGTCTCTTCACAGCAATAGAGCCCTAAGACAAGGAGTGTCACTAACATTTTTAAGAAATTAGAAATAAAGGGAGGGAGGGAGAGGGAACTGGGATCTGGGATCAACATGTAAAAAAATAAATTAAATAAAAAAAAAGAAAGAAAACACATGCTGAACCAAACTTGAAATAAACCTTGGTCATACAAAAGTTAAAAAAAGGAAATTAAAAATAAAACAGACCGTGGAAGCCAGAGAGTAACTTGTAGAGTTTGGTTCTCTCCTCCCACGTTGTAAGTCCAGGGGTCAAACACATGTCATCACGGTGCACAGAGAGCCCCTGACCCACTAAGGCATCTTGTCTGCCCCACAAATCCTATCAGGTTTTCCACTTTCACACCCAGAAAGGCAACACATAATTTAGAACTTAAAAAAAAATACAAACATAAAGCTGAAGAGATGGCTTCGTAGTAAAAAGACCTCCTGCTCTTCCAGAGGACCAGAGCTTCGTTCCCAGCACCCACAGAGGATAACTCACAGCCAACCACCTACACCTCCAGTTCCAAGTGATCTGATGCCCTCTATTGGCTTCCACAGGTACTGCACTCATGCACAAACACACACACACACACACACACACACACACAAATACATCTAAATAAAAACAAAAAATCTCAAAAAAGTCTCAAAAAATCAAAACTAAATAAGTTAATTTTTAAAATACTAATGTAGATAAACATTTGTTCATTTGACTTGGCAGTGCTGAGGATTGAACTCACCACCTTGCATATGCTAGGCATGCAGTAAGCTAGAGATCCACTAAGATATGACCCAAGCCCGACAATGAATAATTTATATGAGGCAGAAAGCAACACCTTCAAAATGCTAACCCAGGCCTGAAGACCATCACAGCTGCAATGTGACCCAGAAGAACCTGGCACATGCCTGTAAAGACCAAAGGCTACCATTGAGACATGTTGTCCTTGGCAGCATACCCTACGAGGCTCAGAAATTATTTCCTACATACTGGCAATCACAAAGAGGGTTATACAGAGTTTTCGAAGCATAAATGCTAAGGTTGTTCACAAGCAAGCATGAAAGGATGTCTGTGAGTTAATGCTGTGGATTATTTTGACAAATACGAGGCCAGTAACAAAACTACATTGTCTTGGTGCAGTAAAAACACAAGTTGATGTTCACACAGAGCAGAGCCCTGTGGCCCATGGGTAGCTAGGACATCTCTACAGACAGCATGGAGGCCTGAGTGTGTGGCTGAATTGGTTAGGAAACACCAGACATCCGACTATGCTTATTGGAATCCCCAGCCTATGCCTTGGGTGTTATGACTCAGACCCCACCCTCGGGAAGTTCGCTGCGGAATTAAAGCTTCCCATGGGGGCTCTGAAGGAGCATAAGACCGCTGCCTGGGACTCTCCCTCGGGTGACATCTCATTTTATGTCAGTAAATACGCAGAGAATTCGGACTGCACGATGGTTGGGACTGACAGAACGTAGGTCAAACGCCCTCTGTGCAAAAGCTGTTATGGGAGCAGCGCCCGGGTGTGACCGCTTTAGAGCATGTCAGGAATATATACCAAGCTTGGACGGGTCAGATGTTTTGTCCAACTCTGAATGTACCTGCCTATCGAAAGTGTTACGAATGCCTGCCACACCTAATTCACAGGGGTGCTGAGACCGAGAAGATAATCGAAGTGAAATCTCCCTGTGAACGTTAAGGCCTGTCATTAATGTAAGGCCGGATGATTAATGTTGCCTCCTTCTCTCAGCCAGAGCCCCATGAAGATGCAGAAGTGACTAATCCCTCGGCCAGCCGAGAAAAGCAGCTATCTTAGGTTCAGCCGGCAAACACCCCAAGAGTGTGCAATTAACATGTCCACCCTTTCAGTGGAAGACGGCCCTGCGTGTGTTCGTATAAAATTCTGGAAGTCTCCGGAACGCAGCAGCATCGAGCAGAGGGAACACTTCCTGCTGCCTTGTAAGTCAAACACCCAGCAAGGGTGGCACCTCAGACAGGCCCTCTCCTTCCTGTTCAAAGAATTCAGCTAGTTCAGACTCATCACCCAGACCTATCCAGACCTTTCCAAACCTGCCGTTAGAGTCAGCTCTCCAGAAAGCTGAGGCTGACACACCTGTAACCCAAGCTCTCAGGGAGAGGACTGAGTCTGAGGCTAGCCTAGGCTACGGTGTGAGACCCTGTCTCAAAAAAAAAAAAAAAAAGCCAACGTTAGCTCCCCGAATTCCTGCATCTGTTCATTCTCTCAGCTTGAAAGGGTCTCTCCATTCAGAGCTAGCTCAGAGCCACTTTTTAGCCAGACAGCCACCTCCTCATCATCTCAAGGCTCAATGAATTAAGTTTTTAAAAAAGGAAAAGTTTGCATCACAGAATAATCATGAAAAGCACAAGTAAAAGGAAGTGATTTGAGTTTAATTCTTTTACAGGGTTATCCTTCACCGGGGAGGCCAACAATATG